TCGTGGGAAGAACTAAAAGCCATAAATGAAATCGAAAGAAACCCAAAGTATTTCTTCTCCTATGCCAAATCAAAATCGAGAACAACGTCCAGTATTGGGCCCCTACTTAAACAAGATGGGTCCTACACAGATGACAGCAAGGAAATTAGTGAGCTACTCAAGTCCCAATATGACTCAGTTTTTAGCAAGCCGCTAACCAGACTGAGAGTCAAGATCAAAATGAATTTTTTTATGAGAGAGCCCACAAAATTTGATTAACACAAGCCTATCCGATGTTATCCTGATGCCAAATGACTTCGAACAGGCGATAAATGACATGCCCATGCACTCTGCCCCAGGGCCAGACTCATGGAACTCTGTGTTCATGGAGAGGGAGCATGGACACGGGGGTCGTCCCACAGTTACTAAAAACAACAGACATAGCCCCACTCCACAAAGGGGGCAGTAAAGCAACAGCAAAGAACTACAGACCAATAGCACTAACATCCCATATCATAAAAATCTTTGAAAGGGTCCTAAGAAGCAAGATCACCACCCATCTAGAAACCCATCAGTACACAACCCAGGGCAACATGGGTTTAGAACAGGTCGCTCCTGTCTGTCTCAACTATTGGATCACTACGACAAGGTCCAAATGCACTAGAAGACAAAAAGAATGCAGATGTAATATATACCAGACTTTGCAAAAGCCTTCGACAAGTGTGACCATGGCGTAATAGCGCACAAAATGCGTGCTAAAGGAATAACAGGAAAAGTCGGTCGATGGATCTATAATTTCCTCACTAACAGAACACAGAGAGTAGTCGTCAACAGAGTAAAGTCCGAGGCAGCTATGGTGAAAAGCTCTGTTCCACAAGGCACAGTACTCGCTCCCATCTTGTTCCTCATCCTCATATCCGACATAGACAAGGATGTCAGCCACAGCACCGTGTCTTCCTTTGCAGATGACACCCGAATCTGCATGACAGTGTCTTCCATTGCAGACACTGCAAAGCTCCAGGCGGACATCAACCAAATCTTTCAGTGGGCTGCAGAAAACAATATGAAGTTCACGATGAGAAATTTCAATTACTCAGATATGGTATACATGAGGTAATTAAATCTTCATCAGAGTACAAAACAAATTCTGGCCACAAAATAGAGCGAAACACCTAACGTCAAAGACTGGGAAGTGATCCTGTCGGAGGATCTCACCTTCAAGGACCATTAAACATTGTATCAATCGCATCTGCTAGAGAATAATGACAGGGGATAATGGAGAACCTTCAAAAAACTAGGGAGGCCAAGCCCATGAATGACACTCTTTCAGTCACTTGTTCTATCTCTAGGCTGGAATTATTGCTGCACACTAACTCAGCACCTTCAAGGAGGTGAAATTTGCCGACTAGAAAAGATGTACAGAGTAACTTTCACGGGCCGCAAGCATAACGGAGATAAAAAACACCTCAATTATTGGAGCGCTTGAGGGTTCCTAAACCTGTATTCCCTGAGAACGCAGGAGGGAGAGATAACATGATTATATACACCTGGAAAATCCGAGAGGGACTAGTACGAACGCTTGCCACACGAAAAAGTCACTCACTACTAGAGTAGAGCAGAAGAAGACTTGGCCAGACGATGCAACATCCCCCCCAATGGGAAAAGGAGACAGGGGTTGTCACTAGACGTTAAGAGACCATACATAAGTGTCAGGGGCCCGAGACTGTTCAAACTGCCTCCCAGACACATAAGGGGGGATTACCAACGGGACCCTGGCAGTCGTTTCAAGGCTGGCACTGGACAACTCCTAAAGTCAGTTCAGGATCAGCCGGCTGTGGCTCGTTTCGTTTATTTGCGTGCAGCCAGCCAGCAACCGCTGGTTGATCAGGCTTGATCCACAGGAGGCCTGGTCACAGACCGGGGCCCGCGGCAGGGCGTTGAACCCCGGAACTCTCTCCAGGTAAACTCCAGGTATGCGTGGTTGTTGCGTGTTGGGTTTTGGTTTCTGATTAAACACCAAACTGATTGTGAACAGTCCTACTCTCCTCAGGCGATAAAGAATAGACTATCACAGTACTCAATTATGAATAGCGAATTGGTAATGTATTAGAACAAGGCAAGACAGATTCTATAAGACTAGGTAGAAGTAAAAAAGCTAGCATAACAGGTACGGGTCGTGGGTCAGGTCACAGGAGGGTTGGGACTGGTAAGCCAGATTAAGGGGACCACTGAACTCCACATTCACTCTTCATACGCCTCAATACACAAGTCCACTTTATAAACCACCTCAGATAGCTACACACATACACGAGGCAGATGGAATAACGAATAAATGTGGAGGAGGTAGCATGAAAGATAAGGAGATGCCCCCCCACCCCAGACATCGATAACGGTTACAGAAACAAAACTCATGTGGATAATAAATGCAATCTTCAAACCAGGATATCAGATCCTGAGGAAGGATAGGAGGCAGAGTGGGTGTAGGAGGGGTGTGGTGCAAGACTAATTAAATCCGGAGGGGTTATCAAGAAATGGAAGAATGGACGAGGATTGGAGAAAGGGATTACATAGTGGTACAGTTCAGTCACGGGAACACAAAGGTTAGTCATTGTAGTGATGTATAAAACCCCATGACAGAACTGCAGGATGCCATAGTGGGAATTTGATGAGAGCAACAGAGCAATGGTGGACACACTAGCTGAGGTGGCAAGAAAGGGCTCACTCGAGATTAGAGCGAAGTTACTGGTCATGGGTGACAGATAACTTCAATCACAGGCCAGATTGATTGGAAAGCCTGAGCCCACATGGGGGTCCCGAAACAGTTGATGGATGTGGTGCTGGCAAATCTCATGCACTAATATGTTAGGGACACTACCAGAGAGGGAGAGAGAGGGGGAGGATGAACCAGCAAGACTGGACCTTGTGTTCACCCCTGAGTAGGGCTCCAGGGCATTGAGCACAATCACATATGAATGGCCCTTGGAGCTACCGACCACGTGGTTATGAGCTTTGATACATCGTGGAGCTAAAAGTGGAGAGGGTAACAGGAGGGTAAAAACGGGAAAGAAAAAGCTTAAACTATAAAAGGGGGGACCTAAACAGGAATGAGGATCTACTGCAGGAGGTTCAGTGGGACAGGAGTTGAGTAGAGAAAATCAGTAAACGAAAATGAGGACTTTGTAACAAACACAAAAATGCAAGGATGGCAGGGTAAGGTTTTGTCTCCCAAGGGTAACGGAAATAATGGGAATGGGACAGGAACAAGCCCATGGTTTACCCGAAGGTGTAGGGGAGGCAAAAACTAATTGCTTAGAGAATGGAAAAGTACAGAAGGCAAAGGACTCAGGAAAATAAAAGATTAGTCGACGAGCAGAAGCGTGTATGCACAGATAAGGAGGGAGGCGCGTGGGACAGTTGAAAATGACATAGCATCGAAAGTCAAGCTCTGAACCAAACTACCGACAGCATATCAGGAGAAGACAACAGTCAAGGACCAGATAATCAGGCTGAGGGAAGAATGGTGGGGAGCTCACAAGAAATGACATAGGAAGTATGTGGGGAGCTTCATACATGAGATTCGGGAAGTATTTACAAGTGGATGCTGAAGGGACACTGGGAAGATCAAAAAACAGTGGTGGTCGGTACATCTACATTGGGTTATACAACAAGCTGTTGGATGAATTACACACACTGGAGGAGGAGGGGGAGAAGTCCTAAAGTGACCCTGATACCTCAAAGGCGGTTGGACTCGGACATCTCTCTTGATGTCCTTAGAGAGGGAAGCAGAGCACTACGTGTGCCACTAACCAAAATCTTCAACACTTCCCCTTGAAAAATGGGCAACTACCTGAAGTATGGGAAGAAGGCAATGTAGTCTCCATCTTTAAGGAAGACAGAAATGAAGCACTAAATTTTAGACAGTGTCACTGGACGTGTATAGTATGCAAAGTCTTGGAAGAAAGATTATAGAGGAGGAGAGTGGGTGGAGCACCTGGAGGCGGAACAAGAT